GGAAGTGTAGTACAGGAGAGGAGGGGAGTAGTCCATAGGCAGAGACTGACAGCAGATAAAAGAACACCGAAACAGATGGTGTGAAAGACCACTCTAGTGCGGTTCACTCTCATCAATCAACCCAACAGTCCAGTCTGCTTTCACAGCCGTTTCTTGCTATTAGCAGCTTTAGTAGTCCAGAATTGAAGGGCATTTTAATCCAAAAAACCTGCTTGAAGCAGCTGGACTTGCATGAAAATGTACTTTTGTTCTGATCCTCTGGTGCTGAATCTGACCTGACGTTTTGAATGTAACAGATCAAGATGGAAAGCTGTTAGTAGAAGATGAAACTGCTTTGGCAGACTGTAGAATAACATGAGGCCTCAGGCTAAAGAAAGAGTCTTCAAGGAAAGAGACAATATTACAATAGTACTGGAGTTCTGGTTTTGTTAAGAAAATATTTCATGTTTTGTGTTCTAGCAAAATGAAGGTCCTTCTAGTGTTAAATTATAATGTCTACTGCCATTCTCCTAGTCTCTGTTATTTGCTACAAAAAGGGCCTCAATGTTCTTTTGGGTTTGTTATGTATAGATGGGTTATTTAAAGCTGTTAGTGTTTTAATGTCTTTGATTCCTTTCCCGCTTGAGTCTGGATGAACAGGTGATGTAGGTAATTTCTATGTTTTTCTTTTTTAAATAGTTCTTGGTATTAATGCAGAAACATAGGCGATAGCAGGAAGGCCTCAAGCTGACAGCAGTACAAAGCTATTCAGTGTAATGTTTGTTCCAGTGTTCACTTTCATTTGCTTCTGAATTATCTTCCTATAACATAAAGGTTGAGCTTGGGAAGACGTTCCGAATTCTGAATGTTCTGAAGTTTTAGTAATAGTGGGTTCCCTACCTAAACCAGCCCAAATAAGAAAAAATTACAGCTTTCAGTCTGGTTTAACTGGTACATTTATAATGTCTCGCTCACAGCTTAGTCGGTTCTTCATATTTTTATTCTCGTACACTGTAATAAATGAAGATTTTTTTCTTGAACAGGCAAGTCTTACAAAATTCTATCAGTTGAAATAATACATAATTTAACTCAAATAAGAATCAAGCAATGGATAATGAGATAATTCCCTCTTGCTTGTGTTGTCGATGCATTAATATTGCAGGCCTTTACTAAAATTAGAATAAAGATCTCTAAAGAGTTCTTACATTACTGTTTTACCTTTGTGTCCACATTAGTAGAGGGTTACAGAAAGCAATACTGGCCACACAATAGATGCAAATAATCCTTTCAAAAATGATCCTTTAAAAAAATTATTTCAATGAGCAATTTGAAGATTTAAAAAAATCTTCATTACATAGACTAGAAAAATAACAGGAATAAGAAGGTAAAAATAAGACCTAATATAGGAAGCAACAAGTTTTAGTTGAAATTTGAAACTATGCAGATAGGCAGGACTTTGCCCGTCCGCACCTGTGTGTCCTCATCACAGCATCAGGATCTGCCCAGCATTCCTCCTTACCCTTAATGAAGACATCCCTCTTTTCAGGTAAACCAGTATTAACTGTATTTTCACCTTCATGAGCAAGGTGAAAGTCCTTCATCCTCCCAAAATTATTATTAAGAGGAGGGAAGGGGAGCTGTCACCCGTGCATACAGCAGAGTGCTGGTCTGCCAGAAGCACCGCGAGTTCCGTGGGGAGGAAGGGGTGACTTAAGGAGCGGGCTGCTTCCGTCCTGCGTTTCTCGCTGCAGTTACATATTTGGTTTCTCTTTGCTGTAAAGATACCTGGTGTTATCAAAACAATTAAATTTGGTCTTTGAACTGTAAATTTACCAAATCTAGTATTCTCTCACTTGACGAATAGTTGTTACGTAGATGTATGTTCAAAAAAAAAAAAAAAAAAGGAAAAGAAAAAAAACCCAATAGAAATAATGACCACATGTTATGAATCTTGCTTTCTAATTAAAGCAGAATGCTCACAGCTTTCCGTGTGAGAGCCGGTAGGAGCGTAAGAAAGGCTTCTATGTAGGTTTCCCTCAGTTTTCATGATTCTTTCTCACAGGCTTACTTCCATTTGGGAGTCAATGACAAACTGGGATTATCTGGAAGACCGGACAGGCCTATAGGATGCCTTGGAACATCAAAGGTCATTGCAAAAAAAAAATTATATTATTGTTATTGATGTATATTTCAGATAAATATTGAATTAGTCTCTGAATGATTTTAAATAGACTTGAAATGTAATTTTATGTATATATCTTATTTTAAAGTCCTTGTAATGTACTTTGCTATTATGGATGTGCATGCTCTCTCTTAATATTGAACTGTCATATGTTTCCTAGACATCCAATTAGAGTAAATACTTGGCCAAAACAGGCTGAATGGTGATGAACTGCTTTAACTGAAATAGAATCTAGATTTGCCTACCTAATAAAAACCAGAGTACCTAAAATTAGATACGTAGGTTTTATCTTAAATATTTTTTAATTCAACTGTTCTGTATTGATTATGACTTTGATAATTTCAAAATACCCTTTCAGCTACTTCAGTGCTTCAAATATTTTAAAGAAAAGATTAATGGAAGCTTTCTCTCTCAACAGATTTATCGAATACTAGGAAAGACTGTGGTTTGCTACTCGATCATTTTTGATCTAAGTGATTTCTACATGTCTCAGGATGTTATGATGTTGATTGATGACATTAAGGTATTTATCTGTAACTTTTCCTTTGAGAAACTGCCAAAGATAGAATCTGTAGACGAACAAACTGTGAAAATAGAAGATTGAAAGGGGGGGAACACTGTGTAGTGTGTATTCTTCTAATATAAAAATAAACTTGCAGTATATGCTGGAAAGCGTATTGAGATGAATATTCTGTCAGCCCCATACAAGTTCTAGTGAGTATCTCTGTCTGACAAAAAACCCTCACCCACCAGTGATTGGGAATGCTATAGCGCAGCAAGCAAATTATCATTTGTTTCTTTGGGAAAACAAATGTTCTTGGCTGAAAAGAGGAACGAGAGTGGTCTGTTTACAGGAAATACAAATGCCTCACCTGGGGAAAATATTACTCGACTTTGTAAAATATTACAAATTGCCTTCCTTACCTGCAGCAGGCAGCAGTGCAAAGCTTACCTGGCAGGTCCTCTGTGCTTGAGCAGCTACTTGCAGTGCATGGAAGGTGGCGGTGGTGATTCCGTGCCAGGGGCTGTGATTCACGGCCTGGATCCCCACGCACACTCCCTAGGTCATCACGTGCAGTTCAGCACACCGCACTCTCTCTAGTGGTTTAGTCTGTGATCAATAGATACGGCAGGAGTATTTTCAGAAAACTTGTGAAATAGCAGTGCTTGAAAGCAGTTTGTATTTGTTGAAGAAATCTGTTAGTGGTTTATTAGCTAAGGGTTTTTTTCCATCTGTTGGGTATTTCAGTGCTGTTATTTTAAGACAGCTCTTCTAATATCGTGTACTGTGTATTCTGATTTGTTGTGCTTGTGTATTATTTTTTCTGTTTGTGACTCACATGTTATTTCTTACCTAGAATGCACTGCAGTTCATTAAGCAGTACTGGAAAATGCATGGTCGTCCACTGTTCGTTGTACTTATCCGTGAAGACAATATAAGGTAGAGAGAGATAAAAGCATCATTTGCAGTGTGGTATTTACCTTATTGGCAGATTAATGGAGTTCTGTTTCAAATTTCAGAGGGAGCAGATTCAATCCTATACTGGATATGTTGGCAGCCTTTAGGAAGGGAATTGTTGGAGGAGTGAAAGTTCATGTTGACAGAGTACAGGTATGTTTTTCCTGAATGGTGCGTTCTTACCTCCTAGTATTGGTACATGTAGTCTTACCGCTTTTGTTTCTCATGTGACATCTAAGTATTTCGTGTAGTGCCATAAAATTAAGGAGTCAAGATCCAAGGTATTTGGTAGTTTCTGTTTTATCTCGAAACAAGGGTTTATTTTAATTCCTTTTGATGAGTCTTTTGAAAAAGTGATAATCTTCACAGAGGATTTTCAGAAGGGAGATTTTTTTTTTTAAATGTTCAGCAATCTTGTGAAATTAACACCAAAGGATAAATCCACGACGTCATGGGGGGGTGGGGGGAAGGTGCTTCACATATATTAAAATTCTTACAAGAACTAACATCTGGTTTTAACATCTTTGCTGTTTGAAGTAATCTTAAAGCAGGAAAGTTGCTTCATTAAAATGTGAAAATTACGGAGTCAGGTGCAGCTTTTGGATACTTACATGTGGTAGTTAATCTGAGTTTACTCCTATTGAAGAATGCTTCTTTTTGTAAGACAGAAGGCCAAAGACACATTTATGATTTCTTGTTGCCTAGAAAATAATGAATTTGTAGAAAAGCTGGGTCATTTGTAAATTAAATACTCACAGCTGTAATGCTTTAAGATGTCCTTGTAATTTTTCAAGTATTTGTGTATTTCTACTGGTCACATGTAGGTCATGTAGTTGCTCCTGTTACCATTGACTTTTCCTATAGCAAATGCCATTACTGTCCATGGAAAAACTGCAACAGTGTTTGTTGTTGTGTGGTTTGGTTTGGTTTTTTTAATTTAACTGCAATAACCCTCTTGCTTTGCATTTGCTTAAACTGATGTATTAGCAGGCGAGAAATTTCTCAGTCTACATAACGTGTCTTCTTTTAAGCACTACGCTGTTAACAGTTGTCAGGGAGTGAACTTCCCCTTCCATACTCATTGACATTCTGGAAAGATTCTTATTCTAAAAACCAAAAAGTAATTAGTAGTTTTGCAGTGTTTAGGATGTAGACAGTTATTGGCCTTTGCTTCATTTGTCATCCATTAAAAAAGTACACGGTAAAACTACAAAGTACTGTTTATTTGGCTGTAAGGCCAATGGTAGATGTTGGTGATGAGCGCGTTTACTGGTGGAATGCGGTATGCCTTCTCCATCTGTTTAACTAAAATCTCTCTGTCTTACTGAGCAGTTGTCACATTTTGCAGACAGCCTTGTTCCATTATGGGGTAGGATCTGGGACAAGGGACATGTCTAATTCATAGTGTTTTCTTAAGTAATTCATCTATTCCAACAAAGTATATATTGTATCTTGGTGAATTGCATTCAGCTGCTTCATTTAGATGCACATGTACACACGCCTAGAGATAGAATGTATGTCTCTAATTGGGTGAATGCTCTTTTTTCTTGTAAAGCACATAAAATCTAATTTCATTAAAAAATTTGTATGCTTAGAAGACTTGTAGCTTTTTTCCGATTTTCACCTTCATTGTCATCATGTGTTCAAGCAGATATGCAAGTCAAAGAACGAATGACGCTAGCAATAAAAGCAAAGCAGGCTTTTTTATATTCAGTCATCTCACAGTGTAACATATCAATATTACTGCAACTTGTGTACAATGAAAATGGAATTCAGAAGTTTACAAAACACAGTTCTATTTAGCTAATGAGAACCATCAAAAAGCAGTCTTAAAAATGTTATAGTACAACAGGTTTCCTCTGGCAGTATACAAATAGGAAATTCCTATAAATTTGGAGTGAATGAATTGTAACGACTGCATCAGATAAATGCAACATTGAATTTCAGGTATGTAATGTTCTGAGACAGAAGTATTTGTAAGCTGCACTTGATGTGCAGACTTTAGGCAGACATGCTTGGATTAAGGAAGAACTAGAGAGCAAGAAACGCTATTACATTGTGTTTTCCTGAAACATCACCGAGACTGACAGGAAAAGTACCCATCCTTCAGGGATCCCTGAAACAATGAGTATTGTGATCCAGACCATGGGTGTCATGCAGGACTCCGAGGAATGCAAATCCTTGGTCTCGGTTGTTTCATCTGACCTGTTTTTTGGGTGGGATGGGCACTGATTGATTAAGCTGTACATGTGCAGGCAAAAGAACAGCAGAACACCAGCAAAAAAGAGACAGCAGCCCTGAGAGACTTGGGCTGTCTTGAGCGAGATCTTAAGAAAGAGAAAAAAAGCTCTGAAAGTGTAGAGATATTTGGAACTGTAGATAAAGAAACTACTTCCTCAGTGGAAATAACGAGCAACATACTGAGACTGAAAGACAACTATACAGTTATGTACATTTCTGCACTTTTTTTAATTTTTTCAATTTTTTGTTTCAGACATTAATATCTGGAGCAGTTGTTGAACAACTTGACTTCCTAAGAATCACTGAAACAGAAGAGTAAGGCTATGTGTAAATAATAATGATGAAGTATTTGGTAATTAAAATTTTTCTGAGCTATGAAGGAATGAAATATTTTTTTCAGGGCTCCCGTATTTAAGAGTTTGGAGGAGTTGGATCTTCCAAAACATTCGAAAGTCAAGAGACAGTCTAGTACTCCAAATGCTTCTGACCTTGAGCAGCAACCCGATGTAAACATTAATGACTGGAAAACCAAGTCAACATATGAGATCCTGCAGAAACTTAATGTAAGAAAACTTGTTAAAAACCCAGTATAACTTCATTCTCATGAAATAAGAAATTACGTACTGGTATTGTTTTTAGCAGCAGCCTACTTACATCAACGTGATTAGTGTCATGGTTCAATGTTAATAATGTAGCTAGTAACAGAGAATGTCTGACTCGGTGATCTTAAAGGTCTTTTCCAACCTAAATGATTCTATTATTCTATGTTCCTCCTCATACTCAGGGAATCCTCTTCTCGACAGTCCTTTATCTTAACCTAGAGAACTTTCTGGCCCTTCATGCTGTAACTGTTGGTTTCCATTTATCCCAGCTACCCAAATCATCTTCTGGTATTAAATGACCATCTAAAAGTATGAACAGATATTTTATTGCTAGACTAAAATTCAAAAGACTTCAACAGTTGGTATTCGCTCTGACAAACTGTTAACTTCTAGTGATGCTAAGGGAAACTTCCAATCTGGCATTTTTCCTGTACCTAGAAGAAAACAACCAGTGACTGCTTCTAGATCAATAAGATCACACGAAGTATTCTGCTTGGTTCCCTACGTGATTACAAGCATTTCTGCTGTAAATGAACAGGACCCAAGAACAGAAAATCGGGAAATGTTTCTGAGGCCAAATTATTACAGCATAATTTGAACCACGGAGAAGCCTCTGCAAGCAGAGTGACAATACAGCTTGCATAGGGTATGAAATAGTTGTGAAGACCCCTTAAAAACGACATTTCTAGACTTTTTTTTAATTTTTTTAAAAAAAAGGACCTTTGATAGCTCTTCTGGTTTTGCTTCACTGAAAAGCTGAAGGCTTATATTTTTGCTGTTTTTTTAAGGACTGCAATTGCCTAGCAAGTCAAGCATTACTCTCAGGTATATTGCTTAAAAGGGAAGGACCGAATTTTATCACCAAGGAAGGTAAGAGCTTCTTTCAATTGGCTATTCCGAGTATTTCAGGAAGCAGCTGCATGTTTAGTTGTAATGAACATGAATAATGGCCATGCATGCCAGCAGTTGTGTAGCTATTTTCTTTTCCATTTAAAGCAATTTCTGCATTAAATGGGACATGCAAATTCATAGTGTGGTGGGGAATGAGCTGCTAAATATAAGAACTCTTCTAGATTGTCTGTAGGCAGGTGCTGTATCTGGTTGTAATTTTGAACACATAGGCTTTGTATTAGAGCACAGGATTTAAATGCATGTAAAATAATTCAGAAGAGACTACTAAGGCTTGTTGCTTTTGTGCTGCAAGGTTTGGTGTTGGTTTTTTTTCCCTAAAGAATGCTTATTAGCTGCCTTTGTATATATGAATACTCCTTAGAAAAAGAGGAATGTTAAGATCAAATAAAATTCTTTTAGTTATTCATCAAGCAGTGTAACTTACCACCTCTTCATAATTTTGATACAGGACAGCTGGTTCTTGTGATGAAGAGTTGTCATTTTGCCATAAATATACATTATATCAGTAATGATATATTTAAAATGTAATGGAAAGCAATGTAAAGTGGAATAAAATTCCTTGGCTGATACACAGTGCATAGCTGAAATACAATGTGAATCCAAAGTCCCAGTCTGAATCTGCACTTCAGGCATGTGCAGCCTCTGAAGCGGGCTGTTCCGCCACTGTTACCTGCACTGTTGTTGAGCTTTCAGAGCCTCAGGAACCTTCTTTAGTCCTTTGTAGGTTGTGTCCTTCCTTGCTCTGGAAACAACTTGAGGAAGACTTCGTAATCTCTGTAAGAAACCAGCACAACCACTTTTGACCATTTTGATAGTGATGATGAACTTAAAAACTCTCTTGAAACCATTTAGGTCAAAAAAAGTACTGTTGTCCCTCCGACTGTTCAGAGGTAACTTGAATTGACCTTTTTGTGCGATCCAGTATGAAATAGATGACGATAACCTTTTTAATATGCACCTTGCATTAAACAGTCTGAGTCACTGACTAAAAGTTCCTGTCCTCCTGGGTCTGGAGATTACTGAGACTGACATTAAATAATCACATAATCAATAAAACATAAATCTAAAAATAAAGGCTGAAGAACCTTGGGTGTTTCAGCTGACAGGCTCGGGCTATGATTTTGTGAGTCAACTTCCGCTGGTGGTGTTGTTATAGATGAACTTACTGTTCACCAGTAAGTGCCTGGCGTGAAAAACACTGCCATTCTGAGAATTTAAAATCTGGAAGCTAAATGAAGTCTAAATAATGGTATGTTTGTCACCATTCTTACCTTTAACATAATGGTCCCCACTTGACCCGTGCCCAGTTGAAGAGATGTCAGTATAGCAAGCTGATGCACTACGATCAAATATGGGCTGACCAAAGAATGGTATCTATTGTTCTGATTAATGTAAATAATATAGTTCATGCCTTTTCTGAATCCTGGACTACCTACTTTGACTTAGAAGCAGTGCTCTTCCTATTTCCTGCCCTCTTAATTTTAGGTCATGTCCGTACAGCACGATGCTACTTTATTACGTAACACTTCACAAAACGTTCTCTTTGGGTTTGGCACACAGAAAATCAGCTTGGAGAAGGAAAGAAGTAAATCAGTAATATAATGGCTTTTCTATCTGTCCAGTATCCCCTGTTGTGCTTTGCAACAGTGATAGTGAGCCTGACTAGAGTAGAGCTGTAATGCACCCCATTACCAGAGCTGGCTCGTGGAGTCGCTTAGGTGGGCACCTCACTGTGGTTACTCAGGGCAGAGCCACAAAGCGGTGAAAGAACTTCCCTTTCGCACTCTCCCAGCTTCCTGTAAAATGAAAGTCTCATGTTCCATGTGATTAACCAGTTGATCTATTGTTCATATACAAATATGAAAACAACTGGTGTGTTGGGTATCGGCTATTACAAACTTTGTCCAAACGTAACCCCTTCAATGACCTACGCTGTCAAGCACAAGACTTCCCTGTTGCTTCCTGTAGGTTTCAGCTCAACAAAGAGGTGAGAGAGTATCTACATCCTGTATCCAAAACATAATCTGCAGTTAAGAGGATGTACCTTATGATGGGGTTGTACCTTTGTAGGCGAAATCTGTACGTAGATTAATTTTCTCCAGTATATTGCAAGAATAGGTGATATCGTAGGTCTCTTTAGAGCAGGAGCAGCAAATTTAGCTGAAATCTAGTTTGGCGTCTTGCGTAACGGCATACAACTAGATGATAGGGGACTTGATTGCACCTAAATTTTAGATGTTAAGCGCAAAAGGTAAGTGCTTTGCTAAAGCTGATTCAGAATTAACTGATGTCATCAAATTTCCCTTATTAGTATTAAATGAAAACCTGTGCATCTTTTTTGCTTGTGTTTTGTTTGTGGTTTGTTTTTTCTTTTAATGCATTTAGGTACTGTTGCTGAGCATATTGAAAGAATCTATAGACGAGCTGGCAGCAAAAAGCTCTGGTTTGTATACATATGTCATGTTCCTTTTGTTTTACACCAGGTTTGTTTTCTCCCTCATGTGTTTATAGAGATTAAAGCCGGATCCTTACAGAATTAAATAGAGGGAAAGAAACGGACAGCTTTACTGACAAAATTGTATTGGGTCATTGCAGCTGAAGATCTGGTCCATAATGCTTTAAAAAATATTAAGAAGTATTTTCTTACTGTTATCTTTTAAAATATAAAAGAGTAATAAGCTGGTTTTGCTATGAGTGCTATTGCCAATGGTCAGTTCTTGTTAAATTCAGATAATGGGAAAAGAATACTAATATTCTCATTTCTTACAGGACATGATAAAATATTATCAATAGCTTTCTGTAGCAAGGCTGGTGATCAAATACAAATCAGTTAAACTGGTGCACAGTTTACTGCCCTGAAATAATTTGCTTTGAGCCTGACTTTGTCACAATAACTTTAAAAGGTTTCAGCAAGTAGGTTGGTATTTAAATGTTGTTTATTAATTTCTTTGCCTTGAAGCTCAGTAGAAATTTCATTTCTTTTTATCAAAGAAATGAGTTGAGCCTGTCCCGAATTCTGTTCTCTCACTCTGTAAGTGTTCCTAACAGATGAGTCTGTAAATGTAAAAACTGTTTTTCATTTTTCATTTTAGTCCATTCATACAGTTAAATGGGCCTTTACCAATATTAAGGTAGAACCAAAATACCTCAGTGGTATTTTCTGTAAAGAATAAAAATCAAAAGTATTTTTGGAAACAAGATATGTAAACTGTTTTTCATTTCTCTTCCATGATTGCCATGTGACATACATATAGGTTGGTGTTGCGCTACAGTGCTGCATTTGCACAGAAATTTTCTTCTTCTATTACCCCACATATTACTACTTTACTGGTACATGGGAAACAGGTAAAGTGCCCAGAAGTCTGAAACAGGCTCTGTGAGATTTATTTTTTTTTTTTTGCTTATTTGCATTTCGATAGTATCAGCTACTGCATTTTTGAAATGCTTTGCTCTTGATCTGAAGAAGTGCGTAGCAGTTTTCACAGGAATCAACATCAACTGTTTGAATTTTTCACTAACACTATAGAATATTACAACTCATTCATTATCTCTGTGGATACATGATTCTTAGTAGCCTCGAAGCCTATGCTAGAAAAGCTCTAATGTGGGTCTGTTAGGTTTGTATTTTGTCAGGAAATTATTATTAAAAGTATTTATATCTTTAACCACCAGCTGGATATATGAAAAAAATGTTGGGGTTTTTTTTTAGAAGTTACAGCTAGGTTTTAACTTACCAGTTTAAACAAGTTTCTTCTTTTTGTGCTACCTCAGCATGAAAACAAAATAAAGCCTTGGTGTTACTTGTTGTACTTTCTCCTGCAAAATCTTTCTAACTCTTCCTTCAATAGACTGAAAAATTACCAAGGTTATCTTGCAAAGTGATGAAAATGTCTCAAAATAGAAGCTGGCATCTCTTACCCATCTGTTTTCAAGATGATGCTGAGCAAAGAACAAGCTTTTTATGGAGCTGGTAGTTTAATGAGTTCTAACTAAATTTATTTTTGATCCATTAACATCTATCTAGATGAAAAAACGAAAAATCCATACAAGATTACTTAAAAACTGATCCAAATTCTGCTTTTTAAATAATGTATTACTGACTTAGTTCTGAGATCTCTGCTGTGGCAGACTTCAAACTTATATATGAATTCATTAAACTAGCTGTTGATATGTAGTGGGATTGCTCTGTTTTCTGCCCTCAGGTCTGTTGTGCGCTTCGCAGCAAGTCTTTTAGGTAAACTAGTGGACAGCCTTGCACCATCTATTACTAATGTTTTAGTTCAGGGCAAGCAGGTAAGTCTTTACTCCCCAGAAATGTATTAAGGAATGATAACAGAGAAACTAAATAAATAAGCTTTTTAATTTTGAAGGCCTCTGATACTTCTTTTAAAAGTACCCAATGGCTTAAAAAAATCCTTACTGACAACAAAAATCCAGAGGAAGAAAAAGATATATTTAATACTTGCATATATTACGGGCTACTAAATGTATTTAATGACAGAACAATACTGAAAAGACAGTTCAGTGTCTAGATAAGAAGGGAAGAGGTATGACTTACGTAACTCCTTAGATTTTTATATATATGCCCTCCTATTTCACAAAAGTAGATGGAGTCAAGTAATAAAGCTTCTTTTTAAGACTTACTTAATGAAGATGTTGCCACTCTCTGTAACTGAGCGTAAGACAACAGATGCGTGGCAGCTGAGCAAAAAGCCTTACAGATTTTAGTTTTCTGTTCCAAACCAAAATTTAATCATCAGTGTTTCTTCCTTTCATAAGGAGGACCTTTTTTTTTTCTCCTAGCACACTAATTTTAATTAAGTTCATGAAGAGTTGTTTCCAAATAACAGTAATTGAATATTATATATTTTCACATTCAAATATGTATACGTGTATACTTACCTACACGCAATGCTGTTACTACAGATTTGTCTTTGGTTTACTCCAGACAGAGGTCTGAGTATGTGCTTCTGGCGCTACACAGCTATCAAGGAAGCTGCACCTGCATGCAGCATGATTTCTAGCTGTTTATTTTCAACTCTAACCTCACTTGCCTTCATTGATCCCTTTATAATGATGATCTTTATTATACAAGAAAAATTAGTGTTGCCGTGTTTTACTAACAGTAGATTAAAAGCAAATCAGAATTTTAACAGAATTCCCTTTTTTGTGATTAAACAAACCAGTACCAACAATGTATTTTCTTAAAATAAAGGCTCTAACTTTTAGGATGCGATTAGAAATTAAAAAAACCCCTTATGAATGTAATTCTGAATTTTAAGTGAGCTCCACAGCTGAAATGTCAGAAATGAAAGACTATCTAAACCTAGTGTACAGTTGTGATTATACAGCCGATTTTGAAACAGAAGCAGGGGTCTTGTACTTTTATTTTCATTTGGAAAAATATATTCCATATTTACTGTGGTCTTTAGTGAATTTTGTCGTTTTAATAGCATCCAAATAACAGTACTAACAAGCATTGGTCATTGACATAAAATTAGTTTCGTACTGTGAAATTTTAACAAGAAAAGCACAGTTCATGAAGTTTCATTTCTGAATTGCTTCTACAGTGCTTTTATTCCTGTCCATATCTTCTGAATTGTTTTCAATATACCGTAGGTGACACTTGGAGCTTTTGGCCAAGAGGAAGAAGTTATTTCTAATCCCTTATCCCCAGGAGTGATTAAGAACATAATCTATGAAAA